CCAAAAAAAAAAAAAAAAAAATCTTGACTCCCTTTTCTGTAAAGATCAGCAGAACTCTATAGGGGATACTGCAGTTTCAGGAAACCAAATGGTCAACATGTGCATTATAAAATGTACTCCATCTCAGTAGTTAAATGTAATTCACAGATTGTAGATGATGCTCAATATTCCTGCCCTCCTCTGTTTATTGTCAAATCCAAAAGCAGGCATCTCCTGTATTTCCCCTCTCACTGAGGTGATGTTTCACCATCCTATAATGTTGATTTTTAATAGGGCTTTGCTCTATACAAATGTTCATAATGAGATAAAGAGTAGGCACCCAAGGCGGGTGACATCTCAGTGAGTAGAGGCCCTTGCTGCCAAGCCTGACAAACAGAGTTTGATCCCCAAAGCCTACATGGTGGAAGGAGAGAACCAACTCTGGCAAATGTTTGTCTGACCTCTGTATGTGGGTCTTGGCACATGTGCACACATACACTAAATAAATGTAATAAAAATTTTTAGGCCAGACGTGGTGGCGCACACCTTTAAACCCAGCACTTGGGAGGCAGAGGCATGCGAATCTGTGTGAGTTCAAGGCCAGCCTGGTCTACGTAGAGAGTTCCAGGACAGCTGGGGCTACAGGGAGACCCTGTCTCAAAAAGACCAAAAAAAAAAGAATTTTTAAAAGAATGGGCGTCCCTGGCAAATAATAAATACTCAAGAAGATGTGTTAGCACTTACCTAGCATACATGAGGATTCGATCCTCAGCACTACACACAATAAAAAATAAAAATTCTTACCTATTTCCTTGTCCTTCCCTGAAGGATTATGAAAGGCACCTAGATAACTGTGCTTTTAAAATATGTGTGCTCGGAGCTGGAGAGATGGCTCAGCAGTTAAGAACACTGGCTGTTCTTGCAGAAGACCCAGGTTCGAATCGCAGCACCCACATGGCAGCTAACAACTGTCTGTAACTCCAGTTCCAGGGGATCCAAAGACCTCTTCTGTCCTCTGCGGGCATTACACGAAACGGGTGCACTTACCTACATGCAGGCAATACACACATACACATAAAATAATAATAATAAATAAAATATTTTAAAATATGTGTGCTCGGTAGCCCTGTGGAAATAAATTGGCCACCTCAGGATGTTCTCTAGACCGTTCTTGCCTTTCTGGGCATTTCCCTCCTATTTTCCCAGCAGGTAGCACAAGAAATTCATAGTCTAGTCCCCCTGTGGTTCCCATCGTGCTGTTGGGACAGAGATGTATTTCAGTGGGTCAGTGTTTTATTACCATCATTTTAGAATTTCTAGAAATGGAAATTTTCACAGGAGTCAGTAGACTAAATCAGTCCCCATGTTTAAGAAATTGTGTCTGGAAAACATGAATACTTAGCTGAAAACAAAAATGATCATAACATAACCTCAATTTTTTTTTTTTGTCTTTTTGAGACAGGGTCTCTCCCTGTAGCCCCAGCTGTCCTGGAACTCATTATGGAGACCAGGCTGGCCTTGAACTCACAGAGATCCGCCTGCCTTTGCCTCCTGAGTGCTGGGATTAAAGGCGTGTACCACCATGCCCAGCTAACTTCAATATTTTTAACAGGAAAATCACAAGTGTCATAATATTATAAAACTGTTTCACATATTCATATTAAGAGTATTGTAATTTGGGACTGGAAAGATGGCTCAGCAGTTAAGAGCACTGACTACTCTTGCAGAAGACCTGGGTTCAAGTCCCAGCACTCACATGGTAGCTTAAAACCATTTGTAGCTCCAGTTCCAGAGGATCTAATGCCCTCTTCTGAGCTCCACAAGCCCCGCAAAGCATGGGTACACTTAAACACATTCAGACAATACACTCATAAATTTTTTTAATTAAAATATTTTTAAAATAATATTATAGTTTTACAGTATGTAGTGAGTCTATATTTCTGATAGGCTAAAATTGGTTTACAGTCATGATCTAAGTTTTTCATCTTCCCTCTCTTGTAATCTAGCACAATGGCCTGAAAGCACTAATGCAGTTTGCAGTTGCACAGAGGATTACCTGTCCTCAGGTCCTGATACAGAAACATCTGGTTCGTCTCCTGTCAGGTAGAATCTTCTCTTCATTATTTTATTACTATTTGCATGTATTTTTCTTTGCAATTATTGAAACATATTTCAATTAGGAAATGGCATGCAATACTGATTTAGACTCACTGATGAAATCCAACCACATGAAGCAGGCTTCCCCAAAATGAGTTTATATACCACTGCCCCTGTAATAGTTGCAATGTTTTTTGTTTTATTTTTAATTTTATGTGTATGCATGTATTGCCTGCATGTAGGTAAGTGCACCCGTGTCCTGCAATGCCCCCAGAGGTCAGAAGAGGCTGTCGGATCCCCTGGGACTGGAGTTACAGACAGTTGTTAGCTGCCATGTGGGTGCTGGGATTTGAACCCTGGTCTTCTGCAAGAACAACCAATGTTCTTAACCACTGAGCCATCTCTCCAGCCCCACAATGTTATTTTAAAAATCAGCCATCCTCAAATATATTCAATTTATATTCCTTCTGCTCGTGTAGATTATTAAACCAATACCCATAGCTACTAAAATCCATGCATCCCCAATCTAGTTTGAAAAGGCAGAGATGACTTGGATGATTATTTAGATGTTAAATTTTGTCATATAAAATAATAGAAATCTCAGTGTAGTAATCTTAGAACCCAAGGCATGTGCTATTTCCTATGAGAGACAAGTTCTGACAGCTGATTTTCTTACATTCTAACAAGCTAGAGATTTACCTAGAACTCATGGTGTTCTCAGTATGAAAATGAAAAGGATGGGAATTTATATTACAGCATAATGATTTTACTTTCATTTGGTGATTTGCATTTCCAAATAAAGTCCACTACTCCTCTAATTCCAAACAAGCCAACCTTAAATGGTGCTGTTTGTAAAGGGATTTCAACCCTTTTGAAAAGCCAGGAATAGTTTTCTTATAGTTCAACTAACTAGAAGTACATAAGCAGCTCCTTTACCTTGGAAAATTTTTTGAGGCAAGTAACATTCCTCCTTATTTGTTTTTTGAAAGATTTATTTTAAGAATGTTTGCTTTCATGTATGTATGTATACCACATGTGTGCATGATGCCCTCAGAGACCAGAAGAGGATGTCAGACACCTTAAAACTGGAGTTACAATCAGTTGTGAGCTGCCATGTGGGTGCTGAACTGAACTGAACCTGGGTCCTCCACAAGAGCAGCAAGTGCTTTTATCCACTAGTCATCTCTCCAGACCAGCATTATTCCTTACTAACCTCCACAATCATTTTGTTTGGTTTTGGTGTTGCTAGTATTGAACCCAGACCCTTTCTAGAAAAGCATTACTATACCTCTAGGCTATATCCTCAGCTCTCTCATATAGTATTGTTTGTGTTTTGGTTTTTAATTAGCTTACAAAGTAAGTCCGTTTTTTGTTGTTGATGAGGTCTTTTTAAAAAATATTTTATTTGCCAGGCGTGGTGGCACACGCCTTTAATCCCAGCACTCCGGAGGCATAGGCAGGCCCATCTCTGTGAGTTCAAGGCCAGCCTAGTTTACATAGTGAGTTCCAGGACAGCTGGGGCTACAGGGAGACCCTGTCTCAAAAAGACCAAAAAAAAATTTTTTTTAATTATTTTTATGTGTATGTATTGCCTGCATGTAGGAAAGTGCAACCGTGTCATGCAATGCCCTTGGAGGACAGAAGAGGGTGTCGGATCCCCTAGAACTGGAGTTACAGACAGTTGTTAGCTACCATGTGGGTGCTGGGATTCGAGCCCCGGTCTTCTGCAAGAACAGTCAGTGTTCTTAACTGCCGAGCTATCTCTCCAGCCCCGCTAATAATGTTTTATAGTGCAGGCTGGCCTCAAACTTGTTGTATAGTTGAGGATGACCTTAAACTTCTGATCCTCCTGCCTCCATCTGCCCAATGCTGGGATTACAGGCATGGCGCACCATGCTCAGTATATTCATTATGGCATTCTCACATATAGTTTCTTTTTATTCATCTTCCTCCCCCATCTTCTCCTCAAGCCACTAGTGCTCCCCTGCTGTCCTGTGCTCCTCTACCCCCAGTAGTCCCCTTTCTGATTTTTTGACACATGTGTTCAACTCCCCCACCCCGACCCACCATGACCTTCCTCAAGACCTTTTTCCCTTCTTAGGAACTCTTTCTATTTTCATGGCTTGTATGGCTTGTACCTACACTCACACTGACATATATACAAGTATTAAAAACTAAAACGCTGGGTGTGGTGGCACACGCTTTTAATCCCAGCAATCGGGAGGTAGAGGCAGGCGGATCTCTCTGAGTTCAAGGCCAGCCTCGTCTACATAGTGAGTTCCAGGACAGCTGGGGCTACAGGGAGACCCTGTCTCAAAAAGACAAAACAAAAACAAAAACTAAAGGAACTGTATCTTAGGGAGAACAAGGATTTTTGTCTTTCTTGGTCCGGGTTACCTCACATAATAATCTTCAGGTCCCGGGGCTGGAGAGATGGCTCAGTGGTTAGTAGCACTGACTGCTCTTGCAGAGGACCTGGGTTCGATTCCCAGCACCCACATGGTGGCTACAAACCGTCCTTAACTCCAGTTCCAGGGGAATCCGAAGCCTTCTTCTGACCTCTGTGGCATTGCACGACACAGGTGCACTCACATACATGCAGGCAATACACAAAAAATAAAAATAATAAATAAGCTGGGCATGGTGGCACACGCCTTTAATCCCAGCACTTGGGAGGCAGAGGCAGGCGATCTCTGTGAGTTCAAGGCCAACCTGGTCTACATAGTGAGTTCCAGGACAGCTGGGGCTACAGAGAGACCCTGTCTCAATAATAATAATAATAATAAATAAAATATTTTAAAAATATGTATTTGGATATATGCCTAGGAGTGGGTAGCTGGGCCATATGGTAGTTCTATTTTTTATTTATTTATTTTTTCTTTTTGGTCTTTTTGAGACAGGGTTTCCCTGTAGTCCCAGCTGGCCTGGATTTGCTATGGAGACCAGGCTGGCCTGGTACTCACAGAGATCTGCCTGCCTGGGATTAAAGGCCTGCGACACCATGCCCAGCCTATATTTAAAATTTGAGAAGTCTCCGTACTGATTTCAATATTGGTTGCTCCAGTTTATACTCCTACCAGTGGTGAACAGAGTTCTTCTTTTCTCTACATCTTTGCCAGTATTTATTCTTTTGTTTTATTAATAGCCATTCTGACTGGTGTAGAATGGAATTCCAAAGTATTTTTAATTTGTCTTTCCCTGATGGCTAGAGATGTTGAGCACACCTTTAATCCCAGCACTCAGGAGGCAAAGGCAGGTGGATCTTTGTGAGTTCAAGACCAGCCTCGTCTACATAGTGAGTTCGAGGGCAGCTGGGACTACAGGGAGACCCTATCTCAAAAAGACCAAAAAAAAAAAAAAAAGTTGAGTACTTTATAAACATTTATGTTTCTTGTTTTGAGAGCTGGTTCTTTGATATATTAGCCCATTAATGATTGGCAGTTTTGGTGATTAATTTTTACAGTTCTTTATGTATTCAATTTATTAAGCTCTTGCTAGTAAAAAATTTCTCCCATTGTGTAGATTGACGCCTGGCCTTTACATGCACATACACACACAAACATGCATACATGAAAATAACAACTGTATTGATATACAATTAATTTTCTTGTTTTTATGTATACAAAGCTATTGCTAGCCAATCATGGTAGCCCACATCTATACTCCCAGCACTCAGAAGTTGAAGTCAGAATGTTGTTAGTTCCAAGCCAACCTAGTCTCCATAGCAAGGCCTGCACAACAAAAAAAGAAAAAACCCTGTTCTCTTGACTTCTTGATCTCAATTCCTTGTCACCCTTTCCCTGCCTTGGGGATTTGCTTTTCCTTAAAGACTGACAAATTAGAAAGATGAGATAGCTTTTGAGCTTTCTGCATGTCCTCCCAATTAATAGTCCCTGTATTCTGTTATCTAATTTTGTAAGGAAGATTGTGTCCTCATTTCCTGTACACTGCTTCCCTGCATACTCTCCCTCTTCCCGCCCTAAATCTAGTCACATGTTATGTATGTGTCACAGACTATTTAGAAATGTGTGGTTGCTGGGGAAAAAATGATAGAACTTTTATAAAAACAATTCTGGAGCTGACATACAGCATAGTGGAATGGTGGCATGCACTCTGAGCCCCAGCAAATATTTCTTAAGCAATGTCTCTTTCAGTTATGATAGTTCATTGACCTTTCCTTCTAAATCCTATGTTTCAAACTTTATATGTAAGGCTTTTTGGTAGTTTTTGTTTTTTAGTTTTGGGGTTTCTTTGTTTTGTTGTGTTTTGTTTTTTTCCATTTCAGGTTACTTTTTTTTTTTTTTTTTTTTTTTTTTTTTTTTGGGTTTTTTTTTTTTTTTTTTTTTTTTTTTTTTTCTTTTTGAGACAAGGTCTCACTGTATGGCTCTGGCAAGCTTGGAACTCACTATAGAGACCATGCTGGACTCACACTTAAGGAGATCCACTTACCTCTGACTCCCGAGTGCTCCACTATGCTTGGCCTTTTATTTATTTCTTTTTGTCTTGTTCTGGTTTTTTGTTTATTTGCTTTCCGTTCAGCTTACTTTTTATCATGGTTCCCATATCTTAAAGGTGTTCTATAATCCTGTTGTATTTTCATTTTAGATGCTTCCAATTTACATTTTATTCAAGTATACTGCTACCTTACTGACTGAGTTACATTATCTTTTTTTTTAGTTATTCTTCCCAACCTAAAATCAGAAGACACACCATGCCTTCTATCTGTAGATCTATTTCATGTTTTGGTAAGTGTTCAATAAATTTTTTTAAGTCACCAAATTTATAGTTTTGTATGACTTTTTCTTTTCAAATTCATGTTTCTGTTCAAGAGTATAAACTTTGTTTTCTTTTTATTTATTTATTTTTGATCTTTTTGAGACAGGGTCTCCCTGTAGCCCCAGCCATCCTGGAACTCACTACGTAGACCAAGCTGGCCTTGAACTCACAGAGATCCACCTGCCTCTGCCTCCCCGAGTGCTGGGAGTAAAGGCGTGGTGGCGGCTTTTATTTGTCGTTATATGGCCAGCTTATTTATTTGTTTTTATTTTATGTGTGTGTTTTGCCAACATATAAGTACACCTATGCATGCAATGCCTACAGAGGCCAGAAGAGGGCATAGAATGCCTAAAACTGGAGTTACTGACAGTTGTGAGCCACCATGTGGGTACAGAACAGAACCTGTGTCCTCTGCAAGAGTAGCCAGTGCTCTTAACCACTGAGCCATCTCTCCAGCCCCAAAAGTATAAACTTTTGATCTTCAACCCATAAATTTTGGTGTCTTGGCCATTTTGTTTATAAATGCTTATAGATTTCACTGAGACATCAAAAACGTTTTAAAAATGAAAGCACATTTAATTTTCAATTTGTAATTGGTCTTGTCATAGTTGGTTACTCATTGGTATAAGTGCAAGCAAACCTTTTCTATTTCTATTTTATGCTTCCTCTCCACCCCCTTTTTTTGTTTAGATTACATGCAGTGAGTGACCACATGAGCTATATAGGAATCATTAATTATTTAGTATAGAGACCAGGCCATATGTGCATCTAGGCTTCTTCAAAACACCCATGGACAGTTAACAACTATTGTTGACCCTGACTCTCTTTTGGAATCTCCTGGAGAGCATTGAAAAGAATGCTGATTATTGGACCTTATCTCAGAATCTGATTTTGTTGGATTGGGTTGAGGCTTATGTATCAATGTTTTTTCAGAGTGCCCCCCCACCCCCAATGTTTATATTATTGACTCTTCTGAACCACACAGTTGAAAAACACCACCTAGACATATCTACAATAAGTAGACTCAGCAAAGAGATAACCTGTTTGGTGATGGGCTTTGTACACCATTTATGGTATGTTATAATCTAAGATATTCTGTTGAATAACTAGGGAAAGTATGGTGATAATTAAAAAAAAAAATAGCGAATCATTTGGTACCCTTTACATTTAGTTATGAGATGAATTTGTGTTGGTCTATCATGTTACCTATGTCACTGTCCATTTGTCTTTCATAGGTAGGTGCTGTATTAGCATTCCCATCCTTATACTGGGATGACACTGTTGATCTGCAGCCTTCGTCAATTAGTTCCTCCTACAACCACCTTTACCTCTTCCATTTGATCACCATGGCTCATATGCTTCAGATTCTTCTTACAGTAGACACAGGTAAGGCGCCCATCTGAGTGTTGACTGGAAATAACATTTGCTCGTGCTTTATTCATGGAATTAATTATGCTTTTTAACGGGTATCACTTAAGCAGGGAAAAGTAGAATAAACTCTGAAAGGGATAATTAACTGAAGCTTTTGATTGTCATATTTCTAGGTACTCCCCAGACATTCAGAGAGGCCATTAGAACCTGCCTTTCTCTCTCCCCCCCCCCTCTAAATTCTTCATTCTCAAGGTCCCTCCATGGTTTTATTCCTATTCACATACTTTCCACCTTTCATTGGAAAAACATTCTTCCAGCTAAAATGGTAGCACTACATCAACCTCGTAGCATTTTTCACACGTTATCTTTTTTTTTTTTTTTTTTGAGACAGGGTCTCCTTGTAGCCCCAGCTGGCCTACACTTACAGTGTAGACCAGGCTAGCCTCAGTCCCACAAAGATCCACCTGTCTCTGCCTCCCTAGTACTGGGATTAAAGGCATATGCCACCATACCTGACATGTCTTATTTTATAGTAATTTATAGCTTTACCTCTTTCCACTCTTTTCCCTGCTTCTCCTTTTATTCTGTTAATTTAATTATTGATTATAGAGACCGAACAGATTTGAAAGTCTTTCCTCTTAGCCTCAACTGTCTGGCAACCTTTGTTCTACTCAATAAGTGCTCATTAAATGTTTTTTAAAAATTAACAACTAGAGCCGGGCATGGTGGTGCACACCTTTAATCTCAGCACTTGGGAGGCAGAGGCAGGCGGATCTCTGTGAGTTCAAGGCCAGCCTGGTCTACATAGTGAGTTCCAGGACAGCTGGGGCTACAGGGAGACCCTGTCTCAAAAAGACCAAAACAAAATAATTAATGACTAGAGTTACATGAATATAATACAACATTATGAACTTATAGCGTAAATGCCCTTTTAGGGTCTAGTCATTAGTAGCAAATGAAATGCTAGGGAGATGGCTCAGTGAATAAAGTGCTTGCTGTGCAAGCATGAAGACCAGGGTTTAGAGCTCCAGAACCCACATAAAAGGTAGGCTGCCTGTAATCTCAACACTCAGGAGGTAGAGGTGGGATCAATGGAACAAGCTAGCTAGCCTAGCTGTGATCAGTAAGCTCCAGATTCAGTGAGCAGCCTGCCTCAGTAAAGTGAAGACCAGTCCAAGAAGATACCTGATCAAGAAGATACCTGACCAAGAAGATATCATCCTTGAGCTTCCTGGTATATACACATACATGTGCACATCCACTCCCCCTACACGCACACAGAGGAGAGGAAGGGAAGGAAGGAGAGAGAGAGAGAGAGAGAGAGAGAGAGAGAGAGAGAGAGAAAGCGCACCAATGAGGTCTGGTTTTGTATTGCACTGACCAATAAGGGCTACTGAAAATTCAGATAATTTAAAGGCAGATAAAATTACATTAGAACAAAATGTAACACAATTACATATACATTCACTCTTTAGTCCAGCTTAATAACACTTCTAGGACTCTCTGGCCAGGTATGGCGGTACATGCCTGTAGGCCTATCTGCTTGGCACAGTGAAGCAGGAGGATCACTTGAACCGAGAAGTTGAAGGCCAGCCTAGGCACATTAGTTTAAAAAAAGAAGAAACAAACCCAAAACAATGGAACAGAATTGAGAGCCCAGAACTAGACCATATAAATATGATCACCTGATCTTTGACAGTGGAGCCAAGAAAATACTTTAAAATGAGTAGCAGGCACAGTACTATACACCTGTAGCCTATGTGGACCAGGCTGGCTTCCATCTCATAGAGATCCGCCTGCACCACCATGCCCAGCTAAGGTGAACATTTTTACCTCCATTTTCATACAGTAAACTTGAAGCTCAGAGCACTTAAGTGACTTGCCCAGAGGCTTAATATAAGGGGCAAAGTTGGCAGTTATAGGAAGTTTTAAGATCATGACCTCGAGGTTTAACTTATAGAATAGATAGCAAATTCTTAAATTCATCTTGCAAATTTCTTTTTTTAGGCCTCCCCCTTGCTCAGGTTGAAGAAGACAGTGAAGAAGCTCGGGCTGCATCCTCTTTCTTTGCAGAAGTTTCACAGCTTACAAACAGGTAAGTAGCAGGCCATTGGTCCAGTCTGCTTCAGTGCTGTTTTAATAATTCCATGTATTGTTCAGGAATTTGGCAATATACCTCTCAACCATTTTAATTCTTGTTTTAAAACTAGATAAGTAGGGGCTAGAGATGGTTCAGTTAAAAGCACTAGCTGCTCTTGCAGAGGACCCAGGTTTGATTCCCAGCACCCACATGACAACTAACAACCCTCCATGATTCCAGTTCTGGGAGATCATTGCTGTCATCTGACTACAGACATTGCATGACACTGGTACACTTACACACACGTGGGCAATACACTCATACACATAAAATAAGAATAATAAATAAAAATTTTAAAAAACTAGGGGCTGAAGAGATGGCTCAGTAGTTAAGAACACTGGTTGTTGTTGCAGAAGACCCGGGTTCAAACCCCAGCACCAACATGGCAACTAACAACTGTCCATAACTCCAGTCCCAGGGGATCCGACAGCCTCTTCTGACCTCCATGGGCATTGCATGACATGGGTGCACTTACCTACATGCAGGCAATACACCATACACATAAAAAATTAAAATAAATAAATAAATAAAATTTTTTAAAAACTAAGAGTTTTTGTAAAGTTTTTGCCATAGGGATAGGCTTATAGTGAAGAAAACTTACTTTGATGGTTTTTACCGAAATGAAGGTAGATTAGGGTAACAGCTACTCACTGTTTCATGACTCAGACAAATTCAAAACATTTTTGCTCTTGATAACTGTTTTTAGAATATAGGCAAGATATGGCGACATTTAAACAGTTGGCAGTGTTGATAATTTAAATAAAAGCAGAAAACAAATTGCCTTATTGTAGTAATCATACAGCTAATGTACATAACTAGTTAGAAGGTTTCAATCTTTTATTAGTAGCATGGGAAATATTTTTCCTTTTTTTAATTTTTTTTTATTTTTGACACATCTCTGTAGCCCTCACTGGCCTTGAACTCACAGAGGTCCACCTACCTCTGCCTGCCAAGTGCTAAGAGTAAAGGTGTGTACCACCATGCCCGCCTGCACTTATATTTTCTATACATATAGTATATAGCTATATGTAACTTATACAGAAAATTTAATTTATGGAAAAATTGAGAAGAGTATAAAATGCTTCCTTTTATCCTTCCCACATTTTGTAGTATTAATGGTACATCTGTTAAAACTGATAAAGTAATGTTGAAATACCATTATTAGTTGAATTCCATAGTTTACATTAGGGTTCACTCTTTTAATTGTACCATTACAGTGTTATATACAAAGGCTCATTACCTTGCAGATCATCTGTCAGTTTTAATGCAGACACTGGGATATTTCTATGCTTTTAAAAGTCTACATGGGGGGCTGGAGAGATGGCTCAGCGGTTATGAACACTGTTCTTGCAGAAGACCTGGGTTCAAATCCCAGCGCCCACATGGCAGCTAATAACTGTCCGTAACTCCAGTCCCAGGGAATCCAACAGCCTCTTCTGTCCTCCGAGGGCATTGCACGACACAGGTGCACTTACCTACATGCAGGCAATACACACATACACATAAAACAAATATAATAAGTAAAATATATAAAAGTCTACATGGGAGGCTGGAAAGATGATGGTGGATAGACCACATACTGCTCTTACAGAAGACCTGGGTTCAGTTCCTAGCATGTACATGGCTGCTCACAGCTGCCTGTAACTCCAGTTCCAGGGCTTCTGAAGCCTTCTTATAGCCTCTGTGGGCACTGCATGCACGTAGTACACCTGCATACATTCAGGCAAACACTCATACACATAAACTTTTTTTAAATTTTTTAAGTATACATGGGACCTAGGTGTGGTAGTGCACAGCTTTAATCCTGGTGCTTGGGAGGCAGAAACAGGCATATCTCTGTTTTAAGGCTAGCCTGTTTAACATAGCAAGTTCCAGGTCAGCCAAGACTATATAGCAAGACCCTGTCCCAAAAAAAAAGTCTCCATGGTAAAGGGTAGATATTCAGCCCATTGCAGAGTGCTTGCCGTGTTCATTGAAGCTATCTAACTGTTTTCTTTTCTATGTTTAGAAATAAGTGGGAATAAATTACAAGTAATTTTGATGGAATATGTTTCAAATCTAGTATCAGTCTGGTAAATATTCTTTTCTATTCTGAAATTACTGTCTTTTAGCTTCATTGGGTTTGGCATTCCTGGCTGGTATTTGTGGGTGTCATTGAAGAATGGCATCACCCCTTACCTTCGTTGTGCTGCGTTGTTTTTTCACTATTTACTTGGGGTAATTCCACCTGAGGAGCTGCTTACCAGTAAGTAAGAATGAAATCAGAGTAGAAAATGGAGACTTGGCTTCATAGTTCTTATCTTCAAGCTCAAGACAGGGACAGAGCAAGTGAAATCACTTCTTTGCTCCACCCATCATCTGTGTTCACTGTGAACTCATGTGCCCTGCCCAGGTATACAGTAAAGATGACCCCAGAAACCAGTTTACTTTCATTCTGCAAATCCTGCTCTTGGCTCCTGTGTATGTTTAGTTAATGTTGTGGGGGGGAGGAGGGGTCTGGAGAGATGGCCTAGAAGGTAAAAGTGCTAGCCAATCCCAATGACCTGAGTTCAATCTCCAGACTCCACATAAAAAGCTGGATGCAGGGCTGAAGAGATGGCTTAGTGGTTAAGATCACTGATTCCTCTTGCAGAAGACCCGGGTTTGAATCCCAGAACCCACATGGCAGCTAACAACTGTCCATAACTCCAGTTCCAGGGGATCCAGCGGCCTCTGCTGACCTCCACGGGCATTGCACGGCATGGGTGCACCTACGTACATGCAGGCAATACACATACACATAAAAAAGT